AAACTCTTATCACCTAAATTAATTTCGTTCAAAGCGTCCCCATAATTAATCAATTTACCTGCATAGTCCTGTTTATTACATTGGCTGTATCTTCAGCTTTTGTTTGAATATATTCAGAAACCAAATTAATGAACTGCTTCATATTGTAGTATTTTGTATCATTTGGATTTACTTCTATTGAACTTGATTTTTCCATTTTGCTTGAAAAATACGAAATAAATATTTTATTAAATATTTAAAATGATTTAATACCTTAGTTAATAAAGAAAACCTCATACAAAAACACTAAAATTAACCTCATTCACTCAACCGTTAGGATTGTTAGAATAATTCAAATTTCATTGTAAACACTGGTAAATAATGTTTGACAACATAGAGAAAAAGTAGTCCCCGTAATTAGGTAGTTTCTGCGCAATAGTTACCGTAAAACGCTACTTGTATTAATTAGTTTTAGTTAAAAAATTGACTCCCTTGTATCTTTTTGGAAATTTTAACGAATATTTTTGAAAGATATCTTACCATTTGTGACGTCTTACTATAGAATATGAAGACATTGTTTCTTATCTAAAATACGTTTCTGTTTATTAAATGTCCGTGTGTTTGGCAAATTATGAAAGGTTTTCTTCGTATTTTGTTTTTCTCTTTTGAAAATTGTATTTTCACTAAAAATTTTCACAATTCTTCAATATAAAAAGGAATGACGTTGATTAGAACGATTAACTGACAAACTTGATTGCATACTTAGACACTTGACAAATAAAAAATAAATTTATAAGCACAACAAAAAAGTGACTTGTAACAACACCTTTCCATTGTATTAGATAAAACTGATACAATTTCAAAACAAGAACGTGTTGTTATAAAAGGTATAATAAGATCTAAATCTAGATAGTACAGCGACGCTGGGCACCTTAGCCACATCCACAGTTCAACGTGAAAAAAATAGTCTATGATATTTTTTAATTGTGTACTAGTATCTATAGTAATTTTATTGTTTATTTATAACATAACCCATTTAAAGCAAGCTGAATAATGGTACAGCATGATTTTTTATGCAAATAAATTTTAATTCAATAGTAAAGTTTAAGTTCCAATTATTATTAAGTAATATAAGTTAAAAAAAAAGGTTAATTCTACATTTATTATTGTATGATCATCAATCTCACATTTATCATACTACTGTAGGGGTTTATGTGCCCTCTTTCTTGCAAGGTGTGATAAAAATACAATGCAAGTCTTTTTACTTTTTAAAAATAATCGGTGCAGTGATGGTCTAAAAATATAGTGTTGATATAATAAACAATAATGTTGGTTTTAACGTAAAGTGTAAAATAAATAGACCGGAATTCAACTTCCTTCAACAAATAGATCGGAATGAGTGTTTTCAGAAATTGGAAACGGTAAATATTTTAGTTTTACTATTACTGTGATAAGGCAGTTGTTTTTGTTTTGTAATGGTAAACAACTGGAATCATCACATAATATGAGATAAAAGTTTCATGTTTATTCGTTGTCTATCACAGCTATAAATCCGATTTATATTTTACTTGTTAATATGTGTGTAAGCCGTACTGAACGTAAAAAACAATTGTCTTGTATTATGGTGCGTTTAAAATTCCATATAAAATACCTAAACAGTCAACTTAATTAAAGTGTGTATAATAGGTAAATTGAAATCTGAAAATGTAACAAATTGTTTTATCAAGGCCGTAAAAAAATTGAATTTGTTGCCAAAATTGATGTCTTGTTAAAAATTGTTCCCCAGAAAAATAATCACATTGCAAGGCTAAAATCGTTAGTTAACTACTAATTTGTTTTTCTCTTTTTTATTTTGTGTAGGCGATAATAATTTAACGTTAACTGGACCTATGAAAATTTGAAAAACCAGCAGTAAAGAACAGTGCGAGGTTGACTCTTATCAATAAACATTACGCCACTCTTTTGTTTCCTTAATTTTAAAGCGGAATGTAATGTAACAAGAAAATGTACCTACACTAATAAGTTTTTTGCCACAGTTAATCATTTTTTGAAGTCGATTTAAAAGTGTTCTTAACAACTTTTTTGAAATGATTTTTTCAGTGAGTCTGAAGAGGTATTTATCTAAATAATTAATGTATAATAAGTACATCACATCGCATTTATTAATATATGTTGTATTAATATTTATTGTCTTTGACGAATGCCTAAAAATAACCAACTTAGGTACTTTTATTTTATTATGGAGGGTACCAAATTACAGTCAGTATTTAAATTCATTTTTTGATTGTGAATTATAATTCGTCGAATTTTCTTGAATTTTTATTGCAACGCGCAAATTACATTTTTGTAAAGATAAAGATGTGTCCTCAATGACCTATCGGCAGGAAGAATTTGATTCACTCTACTAAAAACATTTATGTATAAATAAAATCAGCTAATCAGCACAGGGTTAATCACTAATCAGTAATCATATTGCACATTATATTTATTAGAGTTTTTGTTAAATGTACAGAAACTTCCAATGAGATAATTAGTAAATAAATCTTGAAACTCGTACATAATTAAGTGTTGTTGACAAATTATGTGCCTTAACAAAAAGATACAATTATAAATAGAATTCATTGATTAGATTGATCGTAGCTGTACAGCCAGTTGTCTTATTGATTTAAATTGGGTTTATGAGTAAGTAATTGATTGCATTATACTAATAACTAGTAATAACATCACCTAAACGGAATTAAATGGTTAAAAATTGAAACTGCAGGTACAGCATTGTTTTATTGATTTAAATTGTATTATAAGCAATTGATTGTATCGTATGAACAAGAATATTCACATTCACCCTGTATATAATTTATCGTGAATTCGTGATACGAAGGTATATTGCTTTATTAGTCGTGGATAAGTAATAACTTTGCCGTTTTTTTTTATAGTTATTCAGTAAAACGCTGTTTTGCATAGGCTTTGCCTTGTAAAAACCATAACATAAGCCAATACATGTCACTGATAACAAAATAACATTTTTTTTTGTGGTCGGGAGTATAAATTAAATCACACATTGGACTTGTAAAAGTTCCTACCTAATAAGTGCATTTTAGAATGAAGGTGATGCATACCAGAGTAAAAAGGTACAAACATAGTACATACATATTTATAGATATTTGCAATTTTAATTTGCTTTGAGTATTGTAATCAAACCTTAGGGAGAGCCGTTGACCGATAAATTTAAACTTTAGGAAATCTAATTTGAGGCGCCTATTGTACACATATACAGGGCGTTATAGAGTGACTTGTTTTAATTAGTAAAATCAATGCAGTTATTGGAGAAATCGGACTATTTACATGCAAACACGACTTTTGATGAAAATTATTAAAAAAGGTAAATGGGTAATATATTTAAAAATATCTTAATTTGTGTAAAAGATATACAGGATGACCAATAACATAAGTTTGCAGAAAATTTTACAAAATAATGAAGTCTTCAAATGAAATACTATTTAGACTCTTATTTTCAATNTTTCATCATTTTCTAAATTGATTTTAATTGGTTCTGATAATGTTGAGTCGCGTACTTTTTTAATAAAAACCAATAAGGGATAAATACGATAATCTTCATTAAAATATACAGAGTGTTTTCTTTGATGATACATACCTTATAAATTTTTTAGGTACGTAAAACACAACACACGAAACTGTGATGAAAGTGTTAACTTATAGAAGAAGTTACGGGAGTGAACTTCGTAATTATAAGGTGTCCGAAAGAACGCCCGAGGAAAGAGTATAAGTAAAAAAACTAAATAACTTTAGATTGTCTACTAGTCTGTTCTCTTAATTTTTTAAAGTTAGTTTTAGTTCCTGCAACAACGTTATCTATGTAGCAGCAAGAATGCGAACAAGAAATCAACGGTTCGACAGTTAAGAAAATTTCCTCATGAAAATTAAGGATTTCAATAATGTTGTTGTATTTTACTTAAAAAACAAAACGTTCTGATCTAATAAATGACACCATAAACTACTTCACGTTTTTTTGTTCTTCTTTTTCAGATACCATAGTCGCGATGACAATCCTCCACACCACCTACCACCCCTTATGCAGCCGCCACCAACACAACAACCGCCCTCTTCCCACTTACCTCACATAAGACAATACGACGATATCGCACCCCCAGGAGTCGAACAACCCCCTATACCCGGCTTAGAAAGCACCCCTAAGTATGAAGAACGATATAGTACTCCCTATGAGACTGATCGTCCTGTAGAAAAGTATGACAATTATGATCGTGTAAGAGAAGAAAAAGTTAGAGATGAAAGGAAAAGAGACGACAGGGGAAATTATAGAGATGAGAGGGTAAAAGAAAGGGACGAGAGAACTAAAGAAAGAGACGAAAAAGTAAAAGAGCGGGAAGAAAAAATTAAAGAAGAAAAACTGAAAGACGAAAAAGTTAAAGATGAAGAGTATTCGGAAGTAAGGGGTGTTAGGAGAAGTAGGCACAGTCGTACCCCAGAAAAGTCACACGACAGTAACAGTAAATCTTCAAAACCTCGTTCTCCAGAAAAATATAAGCGTAGAAAGTGGGATGAATCTTCCGAGGGCAGAGAGAAACGTAGCACTCACGAAAAAGATAAAAGCCGAAGGAGAGACACCTCAGACGATAAGAAGAGTAGAGACAAAAAGAAGAGAAAGGAAAAGAAAGAATCAGAAAAGAAAAAACGTAAGGATAAAAAAGAAAGAAAAGAGCATGATAAAGAAAAGACGAGAAAAATGGAAGAACACGATTCAGAACAGGAGAAGGTATCGAAAGAAGATTACCCTGAGCCTAAAGATAAAGAACCACAGCGTAGTAAGGAAATTGATGAAAAAGTTTTACCTGAAACCGAACTTGTCGAAAATAGAGAGGAATCTCCAGAAACAACTGTTTCCAATGAATCTGGAAAGCAAAAGTCGAAAGAAACGTCGGAAATTAAGGAAGAGAAAATGAAAAGTGACTTGTACGGAGATTTACTGAGTGAAGACGTAGACAACACTGTCATACAAACATACGGAAAACTCGCTAAAAATGACGATGATGAACAACAGTCGCCCATTAAGCCTAAAATAGTTTCACCAGAAAAAGAAGAAGTAATAATTCCATCGATTGAACAAAAAGAAATATTCATCGAAGAACCTAAAGATTTAGACGACTCGGAAAGAGACATACTAGAAATTCACACGAATGAATCTGATCTGAAACCGGATCTCGAACTGAAAAACGAAGTCCTAGCTCCGATTCCTGAAAAATCAAAATGGGAAGTGGAAGAAGACTCCGTCGTAATCTTTAGCGAATCCTCAAATATTGATACTAAGGCAGAAAAATCGGATAAGTCGGCCAAAGTAACCAATGAGGTCCTTAAAAGGGCCGAAAACGCTATTTTTGCTAAAGCCATTAATGCCATTCGACCTATCGAGATTAAAAAGATAAGTTTAGACAGAGCAAAACTCTATTCAGGAGAAAGGGACGGTAAAGAAAGAAAAGTGGAAGAGTATAAAGACACCGATGGTCGTAACATACAAGTTACCATCCCAGTAAATTACGAATCGGATATTCATCCACCATCTACAGAAACGAAACCTGTTATTACAAGCAAACCTCGACTGTCAGTTAAAGAACGCCTTGGAGTTAAAGTAGACGATTTGGATAACATTATCCAAGTAGAACGTAACAGATCCAGAAGTTTGTCACCATTCAGCAGACGTGCAAACTATGCCGATAGAAATCTAGGACATGGAGAGCGTAGAGTACAATTGGATGAAAGGCGTAGAAGAGGAGAAAGCAGTAGAGAACACCAAAGAAGTAGTAGATATGATAGGAAGGATCCTAGGAGAGACCGTAACTATCACAGAACCGAAAGATCGTCCAAAAGAGACAGAGACATCAGTAGAGACAGGAGCGGCCACGTAAGACGAGACAGAAAAGATTCCAGAACCCCATCTAAAAAGATATCACACGAGCGCGCAAAATCCAAACATAAGAGAGAGTCTTCAAGCTCTAGCTCGACTAGCGATAAGAAGACTACTGAAAAAAAGAAAAAGGATAAGAAAAAAGAGAAAAAACGTGAAAAGTCCAAGAAACACCACAAAGAAGAAGATAGCAAAGATAACGTTAATACTGGCGAAAAAGAGAAGAAAGAAGAGATTAAAGAAACTACAAAAACGTCAGCAGAACGGCGTAAGTCAATGATAGACGAAGCACACTTCGAACCCGATTATGACTTGGAGACTGAGTCTGAAAAAGAAGAAAAGCCGAAAGAAGAAACGAAAAAACGAAGCAATTCCAAGACACCAGATTCTTTAGCGTCCAAAAAAAGGAAACTGGATAAACGAAGAGATTCAAGTTCCGACAGTTCGTCTAGTTCAAGTTCCGAAGAAGAAAAAAAGCGGAAGAAGCACAAAAAACGAAAAAAAAAGAAAACAAAGAAAGAAAGCAGTTCCAGTTCAAGTTCTGAAAGTGAATCCGAATCTAGTGCAGATGAGAAAGATCGAAAGAAAAAGAAGCACAAGAAAAAACAGAAAAAGAAAAAAAAATCAAAGAAATGAGTTTGTGATTTAATAAATTATTTTTTTGATGGACTTTAATAATGAACATCTATGTTTTTCTTTTTGTAAAAGTAATATTCAGCTAGTGCTTAAAAAGCATTTAGTAATTGTAATACATAATGGTGTACATAGGTACCGTAATTAAAAATAAAAAACCAGATACATAACGCTTAAGATCGTGATTTTTCCTACGTGGTAGAGAAGACTTATTCTGGACCTCTGCCTCACACTAGTACACTATGGAAAGGTATCATATTTATTAACAGCCCATTTCGTTTCAATATTTATAACATATTACAAACAACATTTTGCTAATCATTGTATCTTTTTCCCCTCGTTATAGTTTGGATACTTATTTCGAAAAAGTAACAAATCATCCACATAAACAGATAAGACCGATATTCATCAGCAAAAAAGCGTTTCTCATTTGTTTATCCCAAGGTTATTAAGAATGGATCTTCATAGACAAATTCAGTCTAACACAGACGCTCTGGTGGACAACGTGTGTTGTAATAGGTCCCAGAAAACGTGCCCAAGAACTTGTTTACATACAAAGAGAAATACTAAATATTTTGGGATGAATAGGACAACAAATGGTGAGTTTTAACATTAAATTTTTGCATCCATTTACGTTAATACAAACTAGACGAGGTGAAATACTTACAAGGTAAAGTAGGAAAAGTTATCCGTGATAGTAGACATCTAACGCTGCCTTTAAGGATAATTAATTTCTAAGTGCATTTTTTCGTTAGGATGGCTTGTTTCGAACAAGCACATTTCTTTTTTCATTCCCATTGTAAATTTTCGTTCACACATCAAAAGAAATTATCTTAAATTTTAAAACTTTTCTATTTTTAAAGTTTTTCCTATTAGAAAGTATCTTTAATTATAGAGAACTTGTTGCTCATTAAAAGTGTTGATAGCTGTTGTAGTATTTTGTATAATAAAACTCCACAGTCCAAGTCTCTTAAGTCTATATTTTAATGAATATAGAGACTTAAATGTTTCTAAATTTTAAGACAACTTTAATTGAAATTTTACACATATTTAATTCTCTAGAGTTCAAACCCCTCAAACTATACAATCTCGCTATGTGATCACTGGAATATAAAACCTGTTTGACACTTTTGAGGAACAACAAATTTTGTATTCAATGAGCCTTCAAGCATTGTAAAGCATGAAATGTAGCTGAAGGTTAAAAAGAATTAAAGATCACTAGACTTGCTTTTTAAACCAAAACATTATAAAAACAAAGAAAATTCTTAAAGTTGACTTTAAGAGCGAAATATTTGTATTTCCTAAAAAAAAGACGTAAAGATGTAAAGTAATATAATACCCGTACTTCCTTGAAACAAGACATTTTCTAAAATAACTTTTGAAATCGTTTATAAGTGAATAAATTTCAAATACTAGTAAGAAACCAAATTTTAAATCACTTTGCTGGTCGATAAAATAATCGATTTATTATAATTTGAAATGAAACGCCTGAATTGCAGTCTTGATGTATACAGGTTTATTATAAAATTCCTATGATAAAAATAGCAAATATATATGTATATCACAACTCTTCATTTCTTCGACTGGGAATGTGTTAATTTCGTTATCGTATCTATTAATTGCCTACAATTTGTTAATTCTTTCGTTTTCTCGGAAAGTTCAGATGCTTTCTCCGCCAGTTCTGCTTCTGCAAGTTGCAGACGCTTCTCTAACTGCGACGCTTGCTAAAAAACGAAATATTTTCATTATTTAAAGAATTAAAACTGTATAATATAACTCACCATTTTTAAACTATCATACGTGATTGTTAATCGTTGAGTAAGTTCCTCTTTTTTCTCCACCAATTTCTCTTTTCTTACAAGATTCTCTTCTAATTTGGCTATTACTCTCCTTAAATCCGTTATCTGTTCTTCGGCGACAGTTCTTCCTTCCTCTGCGGAATGAAGACGTCTTAAAGCGTCTTCCAACTCTGTAGTTTTCTCTGCTAATAATCTCTCTTTTGCTGCTAGTTGGCTTGACGCTACTTTGCACCGCCCCTTTTCTGCTTCTAATCTACAAAAGAAAAAAGTTTGCACTAGAGCCACTGAACAGTATTTTGAAGTAAAATTTATCATTAAATATTTTCTAAAAAATTATTGTACTATATTGAGTTTACAATTTTTTAAATATGTAACTTAATTCCTTGCAATTAATTAATCTGGCTCACCTATTACTTAAGTCGGAATTGCTTTTTTGGATCTCATCCCTAGCTTTCGTGACTTCTTCGTGACACTGTTGCACGTGAAAAAGCAGCTGGTGCAACCTATTTAACTCGGCGGTTAGTTGCGCAGCTCTGTGTTGTAAATGGGTACTTCTCTGAGACGCTGCTTCCATACTTACGATTGACGCCCTTTCGACGTGTCGCATAGACGCCAATTTGTACTCAAATAGTTCCATAACGTCCGAAGTCGATACGTTTATCATGTTATTTTGTGACACGGCTGTCTGAAAGCAAAAGACCAATTTAAAAATATTATAATTTATATAATAAAAAGTCCCAATGAAACTTTATTTAAAGCAGAACATTTTGTCGTACTAATTTTGATTTTTTATAAATTGAATTTATATTTCGAATTTATACTACTATCGTTGCCATAAACTCCAAAATCCTCATCATTTCCAAAAAGTATTTGCACTTACATTTAATTTATTAATAACTTCGTCAAGTCTTTCAAGCTGTGAAACAGACATGACGGGGAAGCACCAAGTGCTGTCGTTGAAACCATTCCCAGGAACAGTTCTGTGATCATCGGTTCCAATCAATGACTGCATTTCAGTCATTGCATTCGCTATAGACTCAGGTGAAATGCATTTATTCGAAGTTAATTCTAAAACTGTGGCTTTTGTGTCTTTGCATCCATTGTATAGGGCTTGAGCCAGGACCATATGGATTTGTCTAAAATAAATACGAAAAATAAAGAATATTCTTACAAATTAGCAAACTGAATTTGCAACGTAGCAGCATATACTATTTTTGATTTGCTCACCTGTGCTTTAATAATTCATCCCGCATATCTACACAAGCTGGATTAATTTTAGCCAGTTCAACAATTAAAGCTACAGCATTAACATAAAGACCGATGGCTTCGGGCGACATGGTACTGGCGTCAGTAGCTCTTTCCCTAGGCGATTTAAGCCCAAGCAGTGGCAAAAATATCTTTTCTAAATATTCATTTTCAATTGCATTCACGATCCGACTCTGAGAATTAGGGCAAAGCACCAAAACCTTTAGCAGTTGCATCAAAGCGTTTAAACGTTTATTACGTTCTATACTGGCGGAGAAATCATCTTCGCTGACGTTTAACACGAACGTGAATATGGGCAGACCGACCATAAGCTGCTCTGAAATCGTGCTGTCATAAGCCGAATTTACGGCGACTGTTCGTAAAACTGCAAGAGCCTGCGAACAAACAGCTTCGACCTGAAGCCATTTAAGGGCGAGAGCGACCATCCGAGAATGAAGCAATTCGATTTTGGGTATTTTCATTTCGATAACTGCGTGAAAAAACTCGAGGAGAAGCGCCATACACTCGGGCTCCTGTTGAACTATGTTTTCACTGGGATGGTCGTCGTTTGTTAAGTTACCTTCGATAGTCTAAAAAGAGAAAATAAATTTTTACAACATATATGAAAAACTTAGAACTTTTGATCAAAGTTGAAGACGCGCATATACAGCCAATCTTAACCTTCTGGGAGGAGCCATATAGACTCATACTTTCAATGTATTTGTTAGACAAATTCCAATGTTCTTTATAAACCTAACGAGCCCCTCCTACCCTTATATACGCGCCTCCTGAAATTAAGACTGTAACATACTTACAATCATTAATTTTTCAGTTTCAATCGCGAAATTTTCATATGATAAAATTACGTCCATGTGATTCCCCTGTTGTGAAACGTCTAAGAAAAATTCGACAACGTGCCTTAAAAGAATCGGATCTCGGGCTTTATATGCTTCCGTTAGAGATTTAAATGTGACTTCCATTAACTTCAAAAAAGCTGCTTTTGGCACTTGTCCATTCATATATTCCAAAATGATTAAAAGCTTGCACACATGTACTTCTATTTTTACGCCCTGTTAAAATCAGAAAGTATATATATACTTTAACAAATTAAATTCATAAAGTGTAATTACACCTAAATAATGAGGCATTTGTTTACCTGTAGTGGAACACACATTCTCACAAATTTCTTTATATCTACACACCTTGAAAGTGTGTAAATAGCAGGAAGGTTTTTATAACACAAATTAACTAAAATTCCAAGCGACAAAGTGATGATTTCTTCATCTTGTCCTTCAACCCATTTTGTCAATGTGGCCATAAGATGTGATAGATGTGGAATTTGCCAGGATATTTTTATTCCACATGTTAATTCCTAAAATAATACCTATACACTAAAATATATTAATTAATAAGCATGTACACTTACTTGCATTAGTGCCAAAAGTCTAATTTTCTTTTCGGTTGTAAGATGATCACCAACTAATCTTGATAGTAGTGGTAAAAATTGATAGGTATGAATTAGAGCATGTCTGGAAGCAGGATTTTTGCATGCTAAACTTAAAACATTCACAGAACACCATGCTAGTGGAGAACGCGGTTCTACGTTTGATAATAATTCGTAAAGACTCACGTAAAATTCGGATGCAATGCTAGTATGAGGATCAAATATACTTAAATCAACTGAAACACTCAGCAGCTAAAGGAAATCAAATTAATTTCGTTCAAAGCGTCCCCATAATTAATCAATTTACCTGCATAGTCCTGTTTATTACATTGGCTGTATCTTCAGCTTTTGTTTGAATATATTCAGAAACCAAATTAATGAACTGCTTCATATTGTAGTATTTTGTATCATTTGGATTTACTTCTATTGAACTTGATTTTTCCATTTTGCTTGAAAAATACGAAATAAATATTTTATTAAATATTTAAAATGATTTAATACCTTAGTTAATAAAGAAAACCTCATACAAAAACACTAAAATTAACCTCATTCACTCAACCGTTAGGATTGTTAGAATAATTCAAATTTCATTGTAAACACTGGTAAATAATGTTTGACAACATAGAGAAAAAGTAGTCCCCGTAATTAGGTAGTTTCTGCGCAATAGTTACCGTAAAACGCTACTTGTATTAATTAGTTTTAGTTAAAAAATTGACTCCCTTGTATCTTTTTGGAAATTTTAACGAATATTTTTGAAAGATATCTTACCATTTGTGACGTCTTACTATAGAATATGAAGACATTGTTTCTTATCTAAAATACGTTTCTGTTTATTAAATGTCCGTGTGTTTGGCAAATTATGAAAGGTTTTCTTCGTATTTTGTTTTTCTCTTTTGAAAATTGTATTTTCACTAAAAATTTTCACAATTCTTCAATATAAAAAGGAATGACGTTGATTAGAACGATTAACTGACAAACTTGATTGCATACTTAGACACTTGACAAATAAAAAATAAATTTATAAGCACAACAAAAAAGTGACTTGTAACAACACCTTTCCATTGTATTAGATAAAACTGATACAATTTCAAAACAAGAACGTGTTGTTATAAAAGGTATAATAAGATCTAAATCTAGATAGTACAGCGACGCTGGGCACCTTAGCCACATCCACAGTTCAACGTGAAAAAAACAGTCTATGATATTTTTTAATTGTGTACTAGTATCTATAGTAATTTTATTGTTTATTTATAACATAACCCATTTAAAGCAAGCTGAATAATGGTACAGCATGATTTTTTATGCAAATAAATTTTAATTCAATAGTAAAGTTTAAGTTCCAATTATTATTAAGTAATATAAGTTAAAAAAAAAGGTTAATTCTACATTTATTATTGTATGATCATCAATCTCACATTTATCATACTACTGTAGGGGTTTATGTGCCCTCTTTCTTGCAAGGTGTGATAAAAATACAATGCAAGTCTTTTTACTTTTTAAAAATAATCGGTGCAGTGATGGTCTAAAAATATAGTGTTGATATAATAAACAATAATGTTGGTTTTAACGTAAAGTGTAAAATAAATAGACCGGAATTCAACTTCCTTCAACAAATAGATCGGAATGAGTGTTTTCAGAAATTGGAAACGGTAAATATTTTAGTTTTACTATTACTGTGATAAGGCAGTTGTTTTTGTTTTGTAATGGTAAACAACTGGAATCATCACATAATATGA